TCCGTACCACATGATTGTCTTAACCATGACTATAAAACCACTCACCGCTAAACATTTATGAGCTGTGAGATTTATCCTTAATAAACATCAATAAATAACAAATTATTTATCCTTAATAAAGAATCTAAACAGTGAGTCAGTAGAAATGTGTTGTGTTGTTCAGTAGAGTACCACGCACTGGTTCATTAAATGACTTGGCAGTGTGGAGCCTCCAGAATGCTCACAGTCCCGGAGGAGGAGGCTTAAGCTGGTACAAACACTTTAGAAAATTTCTACCCGGCAATTTCTTTTCTAGGTATTTAAAGAAATGAAAACTTTGCTTTTATTTAAAAAAATTAAACAATCATATTAGCTTTATTTATGAATCCTAACCTGAAAAATAACCTTAATCAGTAGCAGATGAATGGAGAAATAGACTGACACTTAGAAATAAAAAGAGAACAATGGCTACATATAGGGCTGACACATAAATTCAAAACATCATGTTGAATAAAAGCAGCCAGACAAGAGAACCCATGATGGCTGAGTCCATTTATTTTGGTTCCTAGACAGGCATGCGGTCCAAATCTTCCCATCAGTCAATGCCTCAGGGATAGGGTAATAGGTCGTTAATAGAGAGGTGCTGTGGGCAGTGTCTTTGAGACAGGGGGAAGGAGGCGAAGGGGGTTTGGGGACAACAGTATGTTCACGGGGAACATAAGGTGATTTGGTTCCTAGCGGCTCATGGTCCCACCTGGAGTCCTTGGTCAGGAATTTAAAGTAAATGATTGTCTAGAATGTACAAGGCCCTGGGTTTGAGCTCTAGAAGTGCATCAACTGTGCATGGTGGCTATGCCTGTAGTATGTATGCCTTCACTGATGAGGTGAAGGAAGTATTGGTTTAAGGACTCCTCGGGGAATGTGGTCCCCTCCACATGGGGAATTTAGGATGCATGAGGCCTGGGAGACATGGCCAGCTTGGGAGACCTGAGGTATCGAGACGGATCGAGAAGATGAAAGAGCAAGAGGGCAACTATAGTGAGCCCGGCTTGTGTGGGTGAGCAGCTCCAAGTATAGCTAGCTGCATAAGCCTGCACAGCCTGTGTGCTGGGCAGAGGACCATGTTTAACCAGGGTCTAGGCTTTGCCAGGTTGTCATTTACACCAAAAGGGGTTCTAGTCAATATACCAGGGAAATGAGTTTGTCTCCTGTTATAGGAGTCAGGCCTTGCAGACATGGTGGCCACTGGGTCTCTGATATTTGTGGGTTTCTTCATCTCAAACTGTAGCACAGGGAAGAAACACGATCCTCCCATGTCCCTTATGCGTTCTTCAATTGCCTGACTTTTCAGAGAAGGCTTTATAGGTTCAGGGAAGGAATCCACAGATGACCACATCTGTTCCCTGGACATTTCCCTCAGCTAGTGGTGTTTGCTGGGATCATTTTAAGATCCCAGTAACTGACTAGCCTGACCTATTCCACCCAGTTCTTATCTACTGCTACAGAAAGATCAGTCCCCTGTCTCATCAGAGACAGGCTGGCTAGATCCCCCTCCCACACCCACACACTTGGCCAACTCTTAGGGAAACAGCAGGCTCTTTCCCCACCCTTAGCTGCCCTATAATACTTGGGTACAGTGTTCCCTGACATCTACTCTTCTCCAAATGAGGTTTCCTTCTCCAAATGAGGACAGAAGTATAGCCATCTCTCTCCCAGGAGGCCTCCAGCAATAGTAGACGGCAGTAGCTGTTCAGTACTTAGTTTCCTCTTGGGTGGGATTACTCTGATGGTGTGTATTGCCATCTCCCAGGGTGGCACCAACAGGGTCTGGCTCCAGTTGCCTTCAGAGCACTGTCCCCAGTGCTGTCCATCTCCTTTCCTTGTAATACCTGCCTCTTCTGGGAGTATTTTCTGGGATTTCTGTAGACTAAGATTCTACCCTGACTGTTTTAAGGGGTAGAAGGAAAAGCCCACCCAGCACTGGCCAGAAGTAGCCACAAGTTGCAAGCAGGTCAGGACCCCATCACAAATGATGCCAAGAGGGGCCATTTCCTAGAGATAGCCCTGCTGGGTTCAGGGTCCTTGCCTTGCCTTCCAGAAAACAGACTTTTTTTTAACCTTACCCCTACTGTCCCTACTAATTGGTCTGAGGTGCAACTGACTAGTTAAATTAGGCATTGCACTGATCCTTGCTATTCTTGCTTTTAGAGCAAAAAAAGTGATGGCTGCATTGTTGGATGTGTGCAGAGTGGGACTCTACCTGAGGAGAGGCCAAGACCAAGAATGGTAGCTTCCTATTCCAGCTAAAAGCATCCTAAAGGCACTTACCTCCCCAACTGTGTGCTGGATCCAACTTTAATATTTCTGAGTAAAACACACTGAAGACAGATTTCTTTCTTGGTGTGGCAGCACTCACCTGCAACCCTAGCATTCTGCAGGCTCTGGTAGGAGGATTATAAGTTTAAGGCTAGCCTGGGCTAACCTAAAAAATAAAATAAAATGAAGAAAAGAGGCAAGGTATTTTCTCTCTATTTATTTTGGTGACAAGTGAGATCCTTTGATGGAAACTGGATCTGTAATGGAAGATAAACAAGGAAATGACAGGGCCATTAGCTTAATTAACCCCTTGTCACCTACCTCAACAACTTTCCACTTTTACAGTCTTACCTGTGAGTGTTCAATAGCTAAATGCTTTTTTGTTTTGTTTTTGTGGTTTTTTTGAGACAGGGTTTCTCTGTGTAGCTTTGGAGGTTGTCCTGGAACTTGCTCTGTAGACCAGGCTGGCCTCTAACTCACAAAGATCCCACCTGCCTCTGCCTCCCAAGTGCTGGGGTTAAAGGCGTGCATCACTGATGCCTGGTGCTAAATGCTTTTTGTAAAAAAGTAAATTATCTTAGAATTCAAATTCCTTTTATTCTTCTCCTCCTTTCCTCTTCTTCCTCCTCCCCTTTCCATCTTCTTTCTTTCCTCCCTCTCTTTCTCAACATCCACTGTCTGTCTCTGCATGTGTGTACTGATTGACACATATATGTATGAAAGCCAGATGTCAACATGTTGTGTCTTCCTCAATTGCTCTCCACCTTATTTTTGAGACCAGGTGCAGTCTTTCACTGAACCTAGAGATCACTGGTTGGCTAGACTGGCTTCCCAGAGAACCCCCAAGGGTCTTCCTGCTTCTACCTCTCCAGTAGTGGGGTTACACTGCTGGGTCAGGCTTTTTACATCGGTGCTGGGGATCTGAGCTCAGGTCCTCATGCTTGCCAGGCAAGTACTTCATTGACTGAGACATCTCTCCATCAGCAGTTTTTAAAACTCAATCTTTCTAGCAAGAGAGTTCTGCTGGCATTATCTTCACTTAATGGGAAGAAAATGTGATGTCAGAACCTGCCCCAGGCTCCAGGCACCGGATACCAAAGGGACATCTAACCCTAAGCATGCATGTTTGCAGAATCCATACTTCCAAGCAGTTCTCGATGCTACAGGAATCTCATAGATGAAATTCTTGCATCCTTCAGGTGCGCAGTGTCACTGTCTACCCCTCTGGGTGGTGGCCCTGCACAGGGCACCTCTGAATGTCTTTGAATCTTCATGACCCTTGTCTTCAGAGGGAGCTGTTACTTTCCACTAGAGATGACACTGGCCGAGAAGTTAAGAACATGCCTCTAACACCAAGTCCAAGTGGCCGGGTCTAGATTAGAGATCGTCAGTTAACTCCAAAGCCAGCTTCTTCTTGAGCAACATGTTGCTACGACAACAAGACACAACAGCCACCAGCTAGCTCCTACAAACACCTCCTCGCTCTGCAAGTGCGAGGAGAGGGAAGTCAAGGCTCCTAAGTGCTGTGGTTTGTCTAGGAATCAGGGTGGTTTGATACTATTCCTTGGATGACTCTTGAATAGACAGCAGGAGCTCCAGCAAAGACGTTGCACCCTCACTGGAGTCATTTGCAGGGTTTGGATATTTATATATTTTAAGCATTGATCCACAGACCTGTGCTTGACCACGCTCATCACCTGTCCACTCCCATGGAAGATAGAGAGCTACGGGGTAAGCTGAAATGTCTCTTGGCTTTCACTCCCTACCTCAGCATCACTTTTTCAGCATCCACTGAATGAGACCTAGCTGTTGGGATGACTGTGGGCGCACTTGGTGATCACCCCCTCCAGTTCCCTTCTCTGCTGATGCATTGGCTCTTTGAATGGTAGATTTTGGCTAATGATGACCAAGAGCTACCCCTTCCTCCAGTGACTGGCTCTCAGCCTTTTCCACCAAGACCCAGATCTCCTCCCTACACCCATATAGTCACATATCAATCAAGTGACACAGGGGCATGGAGGGGGGAGCCTCGTGTCTCTTGAGGGAGTGGCTCAGTTGCACAGATAACATTCTGGGACTCCACAGATCCACGTTGAGGCTTTCCCTTCTCACTCTTGCCTCCCTGCCCACCTCTGCTTTCTCCTCCTTGAGGAATCGGGGGCACCCAGTCCTGTGTCCGGCTCTACTTCTGGGGCCCAGGGGGTTCAGGTGAAACAGGAGTGGTGACTAAAGACATCCTCATGCAGAGATGGTTCAATATGAGTGAGGAGTGGGAGATATCACACACATTCCAAAGAACCATGTGGGAACAGTCACGGGAGGTGGGCACACCAGGGGAGCTGAGCCACCAAGGAGCGGTCGAGCTGGAGATGATGGGGAGGGTGACCAGCTTTCTTAGATGTGAGAAACCTCTACCCCACCCACCCTACGTCTTCCCATCCAGGACTAGGGAAGCCATAGCAAGTCAGGGGTACATGTGTGAGGTGGCAGGGGCATTGTCATGGACGGTTCTGATAAAAGGTCTCCAGAGAGGCCTCAGAGAGCCATGGCAGCCCATCTTAAGCCAGGAATGAGTTGCCTAGGTCATAAGCTTTCCCTGACAAGCTGAAGGCCTAGTTCCCCTTGAGATATTGCTATCTAGAGAAGGGGGACAAGGTGAGCCTCCTACCTGCCGGACCGGGGCCTGAGGTCCAATTCATAAGGATTCAGCAATGAAGTAGGCAGCTCCCAGGGCTCCCAGGGCCCCCAGAGCCACAGCAACAGTTCCGAGAGCCTGAAGCACGTGAGTTACGGGGAGTACAGTGTTTCCTTGAAGGTTTTCTACAAAGCAAAGCAGAGAGGTGGGGGGGGGGGGTTGGGGAGAAAGGTTTAGTGTCTGTGTACTAGAAGGAGACAGTGTTATTTACAGGGTCCCCTCCTGATATTCCTCCTAAAGGAAGGAAAGAGTGCCCTAATGGGTTCTCCCACCCCTCCCAACAAGTTTCCAACAAGATCCCTGGGGCATGAGGGTGGGCTGGCCTAGGCCCAATGCCTAGAGGGTAGTAGGGTACAAGGGTGGTCTGGACCATGATGTTCCAGGCCGTGTACCAGACACCTCCCACTCAATGTCCTCTTTAAGCTTCACAACAACTTTCTAAGGCATTTCAGAGATTTTTAGATATCAGAAGATTACATATTAGTTACAACCACTACAAAGGCTGGGACAACAAGTGAGTGTACTAGTAAATGCAAAGAAAGCATTCAGGAAACACAGTATCCCGTTTGATAGAAAGTCTAACGTGAATGCCTATTTTAAATCATCTGAGAGACTGCGGAAACAGGGGCTCCCATGGGAAAAGAAAGAAATCCATGCCTCTTTCCCTCACTTTCCTAAGTCTGAACCTTGTTTTGGTTTTTCCTATAGCTTAAAACACCCCTCCTCTTCATCTTAAGTTGTAGCAGACCCTAGGATGCTTTTGGAGCTGGCTCATACACTGGGCACACAATGCTGTGGCCCCTGGCACGCTGCCTTACTCTGAAACTTCCAGAAGCCCTCCTGTACCCAACACTACCTGTTTTGTGTAGAGGTTTCTAAACACGTGCATCTTAGCTAGCTTCCCTCAGCTGAACACATCAGCAGAAGGCAAAGATCTTGTTTAGGTGTCCCTCATAGTACCTCGTATCCTACCAGAGCAGGCTTTGAATTTTTACTCATGGGAACCCAAAGCCCCACTTGGCAGCAGATGAATGAACACATTGTGTGGGCGAGTGGTGGGCAGGCTCTTCCTAGATGGGATTGACTAGATGGTATCTCTGGCTCCAGGCATGTTCTGTTCCCCAGAGCAGCCGTATCTCTCTCCCCCCCTCTCCCTCTCCCTCCCTCACTCTCTCCTCTCTCTCTCTCTCTCTCTCTCTCTCTCTCTCTCTCTCTCTCTCTCTCTCCATTTCAGATCTGCAAGAGAGGGAGCTGGAAAGGGTCAGGAGAGGAGAAGGACGTGACAGTGGCTGAGGTAGGATATGAGACCTCCAAGTGGAAGGACCTCTTCCACGACTTTTTGTGAGGTCTTGAGTACAAGTGGAGCTGCTCATTTGGGTAAAGGACCCTCTCCTAGTCCCAACATATAACCCAGAAGACATCTTCAATCTGTTCTTACCATGGGCAGGGGCTGTCGCATGAGTGACAGTGACTAGATGACATTTCTTCTGGTGTCTTTGTGGAAGAGGAACAGCAGGGCAAAGCGTGGGTGATGCCAAGATGGAGGAGGGGGCTGCTAATAACAGATCAGTCTGGAATATATGGCCCTTATGGATACTCATGGTAACCACATGGCATACTCTGGATGGGGCAGGTATTGCTAGTATTAGCAGAAGGGGCCTATGAGTTATGATCCAGTTTATCAATGAATTCCAGGGATAATTCACATGCAGTGTATTAAGTAGAAGCTCCCTGTGCATGGGATGAATGAAAAAGGGAAGTGAATGGACAACCAATGTGTGATCACAAAGTTTCCGGGTGACTAGAGTTTATAGTGGGCTGGGGAGGGGGTGCTGTTGGAATTGAGGGCTTTGGTGGAAAAGAGAAAAGGTTACTACAAGAGCCTGCCCTCCAAAGCAGAATTGGTTATTTAGTGGAAAAGGCATTCCTTTGGAGAGACCTGTAGTTTTTTTTTGGAGGAGTTTATTATACACACTTGCTAACAAGGTCTGAAGACAGAGCCTGGCCCTGGGAACTACACACTCAAGGCTTTAGCCCTCCCACTCGCTCTGGAACCTGTAGAAGGTGAGAAGGTTTGGGAATTCTCTCCCTGGCATGGCTTCCCGAGGCAGAAGAACATCGAAGATGCGGCTGTGGCACAGCCCCAGACGTCGCCAGCAAGCAGAGCTGCCAGGGCAGGCTGCACAGGAGCAGGAGTGTGGAGCCACACAGGTCAGAGGCACTGCTGGACAGAGAATGAGAGAGGTAAGGGCTGCACCTGGTTCCTGGGGGTAGGACACAGTCTTGAGCTGCAGTGCTAGCAAAGGAAACCCCAGGCTTTTAAAAGGCATTGTCAAAGACTCAAGACAAGACGCAAGATTGAAGGACAAGACAGCAGCTTTCCTATGGCGCCACCCCTTCTCAATCACAAGCGGGGACTAGCCGCTTGGAAGAATAGGTTGGTTCTAGACTGATGTTACTTGGGAAGAATTACAGCAATGAAAACGTGATTGCTTACACCTGTAGAGTGCTTCCTGTCATTATCCATGTCTAATTGTGACAGCAATCCTGTGACATGGAATGCTGCTGGTTTCATTTTTCAGACAAGGGATTAGAGGCTCAAAGAATATAGCAAGCGCATTACAGAGGTGGTCCTCAGCTCAAGCCCCCTAACCTATTTTTTTTTTCTTTTCAAGACAGGGTTTCTCTTTGTAGCCATGACTCACTTGGAACTCACTCTGTAGACCAGGCTGGCCTCTGAGACCCTGCCTTTGGTTCCACAATGCTGCCCCAGGTGTGCAGCACCACTGCCCAGCAAGATCTTTAACTTTTTACTCAGTGAAAATCCTTCTCACAGAACTGGGAGGAAGGGACGCAAGAAGGTGATGGTAATATCCGTGAGAAGCTGCAACAAGAATCCCAGAGTTGGTGCTGCCATGTTTCAGGTGTGTAGTGGGTAGCAGTCCATCCCAAAGACAAACGTCACAGCTTCATTCTTCTAGAAACAGTTCCCCAATTCTATCACTTCTGTGCTCTTCTTGGACATGACTTAGCAACACTGAGAGATTGTATCCTTTGTTTCTGGACAAGCCATTTTTTTTTTTAATGGATAATTCCTACCGAGTTTGACAAGGCTCTGAATACTTCCTGCTTAGACTATCTACAGAACACATGATTTTCTTGGAATGGGGGAAGCAAGGATTCCACAAACAGTATTTTTTTTTTCAGCTTAAAAAGTTGAATTGAGTTATAATTCTCCAGGTTCTTACATTTACTATTAGTGTGCTAGCTGGCTTTAGTGTGTTTGTGAAGTTGTGCAACCATCACAACTATGTAGCTTTGGGACACTTTCATCTCCTGAAGAAGAAACCTCACCTCATCATCATGTATCCTCATTTCTCTCTTCCCTATCCCTGGCAATAGATTACTCTATTCTGGGCATCTTTCAAATGAAATCATATATGTTAACTTTTAGCAGGATTAGCTTCAATCAGACTAATATTTTTAAGGTTTATCTGTGTTATAGCTATCATCAATAAACAGTCATTTTTCTTGACAAGTTGTGTTTCATTGTATTCTGATTATTTTATACCACATTTAGCTTATTCATTCATTTGGTGGACATTGAGTTGTTTCCAGCTTTTAGTTATTATGAAGTGCTGTTAGGACATTCACTGGTATTGTTTGAGCCACAATAACTTGCATTAAAAGGGCTTGGTTTAGAAAGCACCATCATACATTTAAAATTCTTCATCTCCTATTTCCAACCTTACTTCCTGCTCTTTCTCAGATGGGGAAGATTCCTTGAGAAACAACATGAGGTGTTCACTATAACATCAGTGAATGTCAATTCGACTGGACTAGAAAAATGCCAAGATTATCTGTAAAGCACACCTCTGGGTGTGTCTATTAAGGTATTTCTGGAGAAGAATTTGATCTGTGGAAGTTCTGACCTAATGAAAGCGTTAACCCCTTTCATGGATTCACAATATGGCATTATTTGGCCTTGGTAAATGTAGTGAGGTATCCACCACATCTGCACCTGTTGCACTGACTGATCTGGGGTCCTGGAACCCTAGCTCGCTCTCTTGCTTCCTGGTTGGGTTTCAGAGAGCATCTGGGTGGCATCCTTGGAACAGGAACCCACAGTGGTCATCTGTTTCAGGTGTAAGTGATTCCTCCCTGAATAAAAATAATTGGACCTATATTGTGTCCCAGTGAATCTTATTTCCCACTTGATATCTGGTGTCAGAAGTGGGATATGAAACCACTCCTCCATGGGGAGGAGTCCTAATATGGGGTTGAGGGCATCTTTGTGTTTTCTTGCAGGAAGAAAATGAGGCCTGGTGGCTGCCAGATTGTTTGGTGAGATGCATGGAGCAGAGGAAAACCAAATCTGAGACTTCAGGAGTCTGCCCAAGCCAGTTGAGTGAGACCTGCTGAAGCTGTGTTCCTGACCCCTTGATGTCATCGATTCTACAGTCCGAGAAAGAAAAGAAACAGTCCTTTCCAGGTTTCCAGTTTCTCGACAAGCCTGCTGCATTGGTGTCCCAGATCTGTGAATTTTCATCCTGGACCCAGTCAAGGACTGATCTTTCAGCAGTTAACTATATATCTTGGGACACAGAACTCATTTTGCCAGCTTTTCCCTTTGGGAGAAAAAAGAACTAATCTAGGACAATTGAACACTATTATCAATGTGATGTATGACAAAAAACAAAAACAAAACAAAACAAAAACCCTCCAGCATTTGAACAGGACATGAACAAAAGTTTGCAGCTAATATTCAGCATACAAGGACTGTGGTATCTCAAACCTATTTTTGAACTTTACAAGCAGCAGAGCATTGGACTTTAGATAGGGAAAAGGAAAAAGCTCAGAATTGTGGAGTTATTCATACTCTGCCCATCATGAGAACATTTATTGAAATTATGAGAATTGTAACCCAGTTGATTTGTATGTCTAATGTTACTAATTATACTAGAAATATTGACAATTGTAACCTTTGCTATGCTATGTAAGTGTTTATGGATGTAAGAGGTCAGAGCTCATTCTGACAAGATTTTGATGTGATACTTATGGGTCTTTAGATACAATGTGATTAGAAAAGCAAATTTAGACTTTGATAGAGCCAAAGCCATTAGAGACACCCCAGACCAATTTTAAAAGGCCTCTCTTTTTGCAGGAGATTGTGTAGCTGTAAAAATGCATATATTACCTAGCACTGACAAGTTCGCTTGTGAATTCTTGATGAAAAGTTGGTTTAGAGGTGTGTGGCATCGAGCTATGCCCCCCCAACATTCTTTGTTACAGAGGATGATAACCCAGAATGGGAAAGCTCTTCTTTCTTCCAGGCAACCTAAGACAGGTCACACATGACAGAATGTGTGCTCCAAGGACAGCTAAGCACTGGTAGGTTGAAGGAGGCAACCTAAGACAGGTACAGCCATCTGTCCTGTTGCAGAAGCACAGGCATTATTTTATTAATATAAGAAGGGGGAATTGTCGGGACCCAAATATAGGAATCCATTCCATCTTGCCACAAGTTCAGAGAGCTCAAATCACTCCGATTGTCCTTAAGACATTACTTTAAAAGCTACAGGATGCCCTATCTAAGTAACAATAGACTTGGGCCCAGATGGGTTTACACTCACCCTGAAGGCATAGGATAGGTGCAGTTATGGAGTGTCTTTAGGATTAAGGGATGTAATTGCTATTTGCCCTTTATGCAAGATAACAGAAGTCTTCTGCCATTGTACCCACTTTTGGTTAATTACTTAAATTGAGTATGAAATAAACTGAGTGCATTCAGTATGGACTGAATCTGCCCTCTTGACATCACTGATAGCTAGTCTTTCCCTTGTCCACACTCCCTGGCTCAGGAACGGACCTGGGACTGATCGGCTGGTTCTGATTGCGGCCCCACAAACCCATCTGTGACAGGTAAAAAGGTAGGAGGTGGAGCCTAGCAGGAAGACATGCTAGAGGTATGTCTTTGCAGACTATAATTGTCCTTTCTGTACTCCTTTTCTCTGATTCCTGGTTGCTTCATTCTGAGCTGTTTCTTGCCATGATGCTTAGATAGTCTTAAAACTGAGCCAGTGTGAATAATTCATCTTTTCAGTTATTTCAGACATTATGTCAGAGCAATGAGAAAGTTAACAAACATAGTGGGCCACGCACATTTCTTGCTTTGCCCCTTCAATGCCCCACTATCTTCTAAGCAACCACATCAAGATTTGAAAGATTCAGTACAGGCCAGTTTTGCCTTCTACTGATGACACCAGTTCTGAGGCTATCATTGAGAAATGTTTGTCTCCATGGCTGATGTTCACATGTCAAGGCCAGGCAATGGTGTTCTGGAAACTCCTTGGATTTAGAGCCCTCATTTTTTGTGTCCTGTATTTGTTTTCTACTCAGACTGTCTTAGGATTGCTGTGGCCCAGAGAGTGTGGCTTGCTTAAGGACACAGTCATGGCTTGAGGAAAAGTCAAAGAAAGATGTCCTCCTTGAGAGTCTAGCTGGCTTCTTGGAATTGGAAGGTCAGCTGTGCTTAAGGACAAGGATTCAGGAATCAGAATAGACTGAAGTCCCCCTTTCAACAGTACCAAAGGTGTCTCCAGGGTGTGTTGGCTAGTTTGAACCTGGGTTTCCTCATCAATAAAATGGGCAGAGGAATAGTACCTCTCCTGCAGTATTGTCAGATAAGAAGATTAACTTAGATGTCTGAACTTGAGTGCTGGGTACTGAAAGAATGGCCAGTGGTCAGTTTGGTTGGCTCTCTCCATTATCCTTAGCAGTCTGAAGCATCCCAGTTCCCAACTCCACCTGAGCTCCCTTAATACTGTCCAAAGTTTTGCCTCTTTAGCTATCCAAGAAGATGGGGCCAGCCATTTAATTTTAGACAGAGCTGATGGCTACACAGTGTTGTTTGTTTTAGACATTGAGCAGAACTCTTTTTAGTGTCTTCTGTGGGAAAGGATGATGACTTAGTGAATAGAAATACAGGCTGCTTATTTGAAGGAAATATACTAACAATTATAACATTATCTGTGGTTTATCTGAAGTTAGCATTTAGTCAGGAATCCTGTATTTCTGCTATCCTCTCTGTGGGTTCTAGGTCAGACCTCTTGGGACAACAAGAAACAAAAACAAAAGTCTTCTCCCATCTTCCACCTGACAAATAGAAAACCCCAGTTCTCTCAAAAGCTGTCAAGCAGCCATCCTCACTCCCTCACCCCCATCACCCTGGTCTATCTTCTTTGGAACAGCCAGGCCTCTGATGAGAACAGCCAGATTAAAAAATAATAATAATCATAAAGCATATGGCTGCCTGTCTTCTAGAGCGCATTTGCTTTTAATTTCTAGACAGTTGCTAAATGACTCCTAATGACAGACTTTTACCATACAGCCAAGTTAATTACTATTTTTGAATTCATGGCTATTTCCAGTAAGGTCTGGGTCGTATGGAATGACAAAACCCAGGAATACTAGTCTCTCTGGGAGTATCTGCCCTTCATACTTCATAAACATGGCTCTAGGTAACATACTAACCGTACATCATCATCATACAAGAACTCGCCTCTGGTGGCTCTGGGACTCTATCAGCAAGACGGCTAGAACTGATTAAACAGGAAGTCTGCCCACCTGATTTCCTGGACGGACAGGTGGGTTCAATATTTAAAGGTATCAGGCATGGAGTTGAGACACGGCGGTCCGCAGCTGGGAAAACCTGGGGTGAAGGCTGTGGCAGTACAGGTTCAGGGTTAATTAGCTGTGGTGGGGTGGACTCCTGGTAAGGCTGTGGCTGCAAGGGTGGCGAGATGGGGTCTGGACATGATGGCGGGGTTTCTGAGCTGGGCTGCTGTGAGGAATCCGAGCTAGCCTGCGGCGAAGTGGAATCCCTGCGGCGCCTGGAATCAGACTTTTTCTTTTTGACCTTCTTCATGGTGGTCCTTCTAGACTAACACCGCGGAGCTACATGGAGCTGTGGATTCTTAGCTCCCTCCCTAGGGAGGCCGTCTCCCTTATGGGTTTGGCTCTGGTCTTTGACTCTAGCAAGGTCCCACAGACAAGAGTCACCCATACCTCCTGTGAGGTCACAAAAGCCAGGGTGGATCCCATGGCTAGGGCTCTGGCACCGTCTTTGTGGAGCATCTTTTCTTTTCCAGGGCTTCCTGCCAGAACAGGCAGGGGCCAGCAGCTGCCCTATCCCTTCAAGGCCTGATTAAGATAGTCTCTGGGCCTATGACAACTGGATCCCCTTGATTCTGTGACCAGAGCACCCGTTTTGGGCACCTTTCCATTGCATGCTCCTGGATCCGTGTGAGCTATCTTTTATTCGAAGACATCCTGGATGGGACTCTCAGCTCTGTTACTGGTTTCCACATGTCCATCCCCAAACACAAACATCTATGATCGCCATATATTTAGTAAGTTTTAGGGAACTTAACTGAAAATTTGGCTTCTTTTAGCATTTTACCTCCCACACCCCATTGCCTTCTGTCCCCTCTGAAATGCTTCTTCCCTCCTTGTGGGAGGGGACTGTGTTCCTGTGTGTGTGTGTGTCTGAACTTTTATATGAACCCTGGAATTTGGGCAAGAATTCTACCTTAAGCTAGCTCTCAGAAACCTACTAATTTCTCAAACTCATTACATTGGTGAAACAGACTTATTACCTCCCAAGACACTGGTTCGGTCAAATAGACTATGAATCTTCCTTAAAATAAACAATGTGACTTTCATTTTAGGATGGAAGTGTGAAAGGCTAAATGTCACACACTGCAACAGAAAAATGTGCTCCCAGCAAGAGACAGAACTTCCTCCATGACCTAGGTAAGCTGTGTAGGGGAGTAACCTGTCTTATGCAGAGTCCCACAGCTGTTTGGGTGGGGATGGGGATGGGGACACGACACAAGGTCAGGGGAGAGCTAGCAAGCCAAAAATGCCCCACACAAAAGGCAGACCAGTGGTCAGTAGTGAAACGAGAGGCTCTATTTTCAGGCTTCTAGAGTCAGCAAAGACTTTACCAATTATATTACTATTAATTATTATTTTGCTAAAAAGGGTACTGAGGTTCATAGAAGTTATATTACATACATTAAATACCTCTTCACCCCCAGATAATTGTACCACTCAGGAGTAAATTCCAATTAAGGGTTCTGTTTCTTTGTGACTCCTGTAGAAAGTAGGGAATAAGATTATACAGGCTTTGAAGTTAATGAAAGAAAAGAGTTTAAAGTTCCTTGCATGGGAAGATTGAAGAAAAGTATGAAGGTGAAGTTTAGAGCTGGACCCAGTGACACTGGGGTGTGTTTGGTTGGTTTGGAGTAAGGGGGTTGAGTTGACAGGTGAACCCACAAGAAACTGGCAGCTTCCCGAGGGCAAGAGCGATGGACCAGCTGAGGGGATGCCATCCGAATCAGAGAGACTCTAAGTCTGAATGGTGCTCATCTTGGCTAAATCGCCTTTTCAGTCACTGAAAGGCATTGATGGAGGAGCTTAACCTGGTTTAAGCCAGTATTTCAGTCTCATCCCTGATTGATGCTATGCTGTGTGTCATAGGAAGCTCAGCAGCCTCTCTGACCTTGAATGGCCAGCACCCCATCATGGTAATTAAAAACATCTCAGGATGTAGCTAAATAGCCTTAGAGCTTCAAGGAGGTGGTAACATTGTTCCTGGTTGAGAACAACTGTCAGATGATGGCAGGGACATATATGGGTAGAATGTCCTAATAGCCACGAAATAGCTATTCCATTTCATGTAAAGAGGGGGCACAGGGCACAGAGGCTTGTGTTCTTGGTAGATGACAGAATCCAGACTAAGGAGTGTTTCTACCATTAAGAAGAAAATTCATGGTTTGGAAGCTGGGAGAAGTCTTCATGGGAGTTCCCTGCCAAGAGCCACTCTTCTACAGAGCAGTCAGAGTGTGTTTGCCTTGTTCAAGCTTTGTCTTAGCTTTCATTCCCCAACCCCCTAGGTCTAGGCAAGGAAGCCCCAGGTTTCATGCAAACTGTCTGAATTGAAAGCAAGTGAAAGTAATAGGACTGAGCCCAGGGAACAACTCTAGGCAAAGTTGGGGGAACTTTCCCTACTAAGAGGCTGTGGCCAAAGATGAACTAGGTTTTGTAGTCCCTGATGAAAGTCACAATTGGAATGGCCCATCAGTGGGGGCTTTTCTAAGCCAGGAGTGCCGACTATGTGAAACCATCCATGTGAAACATAGCTATGCTAGCAGCTATTTAGGAAAAGAATGAGTTTAAAAGGTTGGGGGATAGACAGGTTACAAGGTCTTGAGAGTGATCATACCCTGCCCCCTCCACTGTCCCTGAGGCTCTGGTCTTTCTTTCAGTGTGCTTTGAACACTAGAATGAGTGTGTCACCATTACCCTGAAGCTCTAGCTTCCCTGTGCTATCGAGCAGTCCTTTATCCTTGCATGTCGTGAGGGAGAATGATAGGTGGAAAGACAGGGAGCTTGGTCACTAGCTGAAGGATGGACAGAGCCCATGTAATGGGGCATTAAGGTTCCTGCCTCAGAACACTAGTCTGAAGGGTTTCTGAAAATAGAAAGTTCTGGAAGTCCATGTTAAGAATCAACTGGTCTAGGACCCTAGGCCACAAACTAGCCCCAGTGCCTCAGGGGGCATTAGGGGCTTTGAGAAAATTTGCAGTGTGAAACCATTTAACTCTTCTTGAAGTCTCAACCTTAGATGGCTGCTGTGAAGCCTGGAGGTGAAAGCCCCTCACACAGCAACTGGCTCCCAAGAGGCTGTTTTTTATTGATTTTTATCTCCAGGAGTAACAGGAGATAGCAGCCCCGCTAAAGAACCTGGAAAGGGCACTTGTCAGTGCATTTGGAGAGGAGGGGGTGAACTATTGGAAGTCCTACACTCCCCATCAACACTAAAAGCTGATTTCTCCTAAGCTGTGGGCAGGGCAGATCCAGGGGAAAGAGGTAACCCTCCAGGTTAACTTAAACACTTTCAAATTGTCCCAGCCCGCACATCTTGGGAAAAAGGACGCCGGTTTATTACCATTCAGATTGTACCCCAAACTTCTGGAGGCGCCAACACTGGGCAGTGAGGTCAGGGATTTGCCCACTTCTCAGGGGAACAACAGTCCCAGTTTCCACCCTCGAGCCCCTCACCATCCGTCTGGGTCTGGCGATCCACCAGGGGGACCATGTGCGCTTGGCTGGCAGCCCGCTGGACGTCCAGGACACCCTGGGGGCGGCTGGGGCAGAACACTGCTGTGTGCACCTCGACCCCTGGGTTCTCTGAAGCGAAGACGCCGCAGAGCAGGTCCTCCAGACGGCGACGCGACTCTGCTTCCTCATCCGGCCGCGGCTGCACCAGGATCCCAACAAGAGCGGCTGGCGGGCGGCGGTCCTGGACGCGCACCTGCTGTAGGAGCAGCTGCAGCTGCGGCAGCTGTGTGCCCAGCGCCGAAGCATGGCACAGCACCAGGAGCAGCTGCTTGCCGGGCTCCGAAGTTAGCTCCGTGATCTGAGCCGAGCTGCAGACCCCGTGTAGCTCTCGAGGCCCCTCGTGATCAGGCAAGTCCTTTTCCTTGAGATCCGAGAGCTGCTGCTTCTCTAGCTTCTCCGGCTTCTCTGGTTTCTCAGGCTTCTCTGGCTTCTCCGGTTTCTCAGGCTTCTCAGGCTTCTCCTTGCAGCGCTTGGACTTGGTGGCCGGGGCTTCGCGGCTGTCAGCCAAGCAGTCACCAGTGCGCTTGAGTCCCTGCCTCGCACTGCTGGAATTACTTTGGCTGCTTGTTGCTTGGCTGTAGGCGGGCTCAGCGTTCCGATCCTTCCGAGGCTGACCCAGAACGTTCTGCAGGGTCGTGTAGCTCTCTTCCTGCTTCAAGAACTCTCTTATTAGCAGCACCCGACCGCGGCCCGAAATAGTCTGACTCACAGTCTCCGGCTGAACCTTGACCTTCTTCTTCGGGGCCCTTGAGGGCTGCTCCCCAGGCCTCTGTTCCATGTCGGTCCGGCTTCCTTGCCCCAATGGGCTGTGGCCTTCCTTGGCCAAATGAAAACTGCCTTTTCCTGGAGCATGTCACAATACCCCTTGGTTTTACAGCCTCCCGCTGCGGGCAGCCCAGAGCCTCTATCCCACTATTTCTTGAGACTCTTCCAACATAGGGAAACTGATGTTGGATGCTAGGGTAACACCTGCTGACCTGGGGAGCGTGTGTGTGTGTGTGTGTGTGTGTGTGTGTGTGTGTGTGTGTGTGTGTGTGTGTGTGTAACACCTGCTGACCTGGGGAGCGTGTGTGTGTGTGTGTGTGTGTGTGTGTGTGTGTGTGTGTGTGGTTCCTAGAGTCCTGTCATGGGGCACTCCCTTTTATCAGCCCAAGCACACGGAAGTCACAGCGTAGCATTGAGACAGAGAGCTGGCAGGTTTACCAGACTGTGAGATCTTTGGGAGGTGGGCAGAAGATCAGATGAGAATCAACTGGTCCCTACGGTTCTCAGGTTCTATCCTTTAGGAGGAGGAGGAGATTTTGGCAAGAAATGACATTAAAGACAAGGTCTCCACATCAACTAATATTAAATAATGAATATTTTGTTTAATGGTTGGAACCTTTAAACTCCTTGGTTGCACTTAGGGTGATGTGACAGAGAGATCCAAAAAACATAGGGCTTAGAATTAATATTCCTTTATTTCTTCTAATGTCAGTGATGTATAGGCCCTTTGGACTTTCCTGTCTTCAAGGCTGCTGGCCCAGGGCTTCAGAGCTCTTGGCTAGCAGAAGAACTGTATGAGCAACTCAGGCTGGGAAACAGCCTCCGTTTGACTGGTTAAGCACCAACCTCACCCTTGGGAGTGAGGGGTCTAGACCATACCTGGGGCACTTGCCTGGTACCTGGTGAGCATATTGGGTATCCCATGGGACATTGAACTTGAGAAAGAATCGTCTTTAACTAAAAACATTGTATTTGTGTGTATGTGTGTTACCTTCTCATCCTCATGCACACTATGTATGCAGCACTTGAGGAGTCCAGAAGAGGACACTGGATCCCCTGGAACTAGAGTTACAGGTGGTTGTGAACTGCTATGTGTAGTTGGGAATCGAACCTTGGTCCTCTGCAAGAGCAGCCAGTGCTATTAACTGATGAACCATCTCTCCAGCTGCAAGAAAGGATTTTCTGATATTTTTGAACTAAAGAAAATTGAGTATTGCTATGGTTAATTTTAAGCAACAAAGATATGCTTGGCTATATTTAAAAACAAAAGACATTTGGTTTATGTTTTTGTTTTGTTTTGATTTGTTTGGACCAGTATCTCAGGGGGGATACCACCTGCCATATTGTGAGGACACTCTTAAGGCCCCATGGAGAGGTCCACATGGGGAGAGACTGGAACCTCCTACCAACAGCTGTTGAAGACACCATCTTGGAAGTGTTCAGGCCCAGTTAGAGAACTGGATCCTTCATATGTATCATGTCTACAACACTGGGAAAGACTCCAACTGGAACCAC